TAAATAAGTTAATTCATGTTATTTTATTAGTTATCTAATTTATTATTAACAAAATAATAAAATTTTTTGTAAATTTTTAATTATTTTCATTGAAATCATTTTTCAACTTTAAAGGGTCAAAGAGTTTATTTGTCACGGAGTTGAATAATTGGCCAAGTTAAAGGGATCGACCTCTTTCTAAGTGTTCTAAGAACAACTTTTTCCTTTTCTTATGTGAAGTAAACTGTTGCTATACATTTTTCACAATGACAAAGTATGTTGACTCTATTGTAATAGATGAATGAATTCGTTTAATTATCATTGCGGATTCTCGTATATTATAAATGTCTAAGCACCTCAATATTGTAAATTTGAAAAATCAAGGGCAATTATAATATGTATTTAAACACTATCAAATTATTAATAATTGCAGGAAGTTAACAGGAATTCATCAAAAGGGAATTTAAACATTACTTATATAGAGTTATTAAATGCATGTTTTGTATACAGCTAATATTCATTTGTTATGCTTCAGCAATAAGAGGAGCTTTGAACTTTCTTTTTAAATATCTCTCACAGTCTTCTTTTTATCAGCATAGAATGGAAATATGAATCAACAATAAACTAGTATTAATTGCCTTTAGATTATTTTATGTAAATTCCGTTGAAACAGAAGTAAATGATTAAGAGGCAGTTTGTTTCACTTGACACATATTTTTTAAGAAGCTATACACAAAAGAATATTAAATTTACAATTGTATAAAATAAATATTTTTTTTACTGTAGTATTTTATTTTTTAAAAAAACATTTTATTTATAGAATAAATATTTAAAAGTATATTTTATGAAAAGAATTTGACTTCCTTAGATTTCATTAAAAGGGCCATAAGATAAGTGATATTTTTGGGCACTCGGAGAAGCAATTTACCGTTATTTTCCATCGAAGCACGCAGAGATTATCAAGAGGTGAATTTGCCGGCAAAATCAAAAAGATAACATAAAAGGTGGGTGTATATTTCAAGTCCCAGATTCCAGCATTTAGAAATTTATTCTATATAGAGATAAAGTCACTTAATTTTAGTCTTATTTATAAATATAAACTATGTATGTGAGAGTGCAGGCCAGACATAAATAACATACACACAGGTTGTGCAAAATTGTTCACCGAGACAAATTATTGATGGAGAACCACTGTTCTGATGCGGCAATCAGCCTCCGGTATTTTGAGGTGAAGAGTCTCGTGCGAAGAACAAGTATATAGAATTATATCAAGGCCGATTTCATACAAGCAAGGTCGGTGAAGGTCAAATTAAACTTGTTCGAAATTTTCCTCAAATTCTATATTCTAATTATTAAAAAAAAAAAATGCTAATAGCATACATGTTCTATATTTCACATAAAAAATTAAAGAAAATCTAATTTTCTATTCAGTCTATATATCTTACAATATAAAATTTTTTTTTCTTCATAATTTCTTTTATTGTCAATAAAACTGATTGTACGCAAGGAATGCTAAATTTTCCAGCGATCTAGTAAATTTCACGTTTAATATTACTATTAAAAAAAATAAAAAACTTTTTTTGTCCTCTTTTACATGATAAAATAGTACATTACATTTGTCTTGTAATGTTTTCTATATGAATTTAACGAGACTTATCAAGTTATGCAAATTTTAAAACTGTCGAGTCTATAAAAAGTGTCATATATATATAACATGACGTCTAGCATAAATATACATGCATTAAGAATTTATTTTTTATAAAGAGATGAGTTAAGAACTGAAGATCATAATCTTTATTTATTTTAAATGAAAAACGATTGCTGTATAATGGTAATTATATTTTTTTTTCTTTGCTACTTTGAAAAATATTATTTTCACTAATAATGAATTTCAAGAATAAATGAAAGCTACTTTAAATTGTAAATATATATAAAAATTAATTAAATAAATAATAATACGCACGACCTAATATTCACTGAACTTTATCTAAAAAGGTATGTGCACTTATAAACACGGAACCTGAATTAAAAAAGTTTCACGGTGTTTTTCACGCTCTAACATAATTGCTAATTGATCCATAGAAAACATTTTTATAGGTACGCGCATGTATATTTTTTATCAAATTTTTATCAGTAATAAGGTGTATGAGAATGTGCATCTTTTTTGCCATAAGTCAACATGAGCGAATAGACTCGTAATTATTATTAGAGTAGCAATTATCTCATAATTTGTGGGCAACTTGAGGAGAGGAACAATTATCAGTCCTGTTCCCGTGCTTACCTTCTATAAATTGCCATCATTACCAAAGTGATAATTATAAACAGAAACAAAGTGACAGTGTTAATCTATTAGAGAAACTAATGAATTCATTGAAATACTTTTTCTCACTATATAATAGGAATCTATCAATAAATTCCATTAATCAAAATAGTTTTTTTTTTTGTTTTAGACATGAAAAAAAAATTGAAGAATAATATAATGATAATGTATAATAATTATCATTAACAATAATATTAAAAATAAAAAATTGAAAGATTTTTTTTTTTTTAATGAAAACTTTGACTGTTCCTATAGAGAGTTAATTACATTGATCAATGAGATCAGAATTGATCAGATTTTATTGTATCATCCGGAAAACTCTTCCGGTCTTGACGTTGAAGGAGGCCACTTGGTCAACAGGTCCGTTCCGACTGATTCCCAGGATTGCGAGTGAGAACACATCCGACCGGTTTGTATACCTTCCCTCCACATATGAACGAAGGAAACGAAGGTGTTTTTTTGCATTCCTTCACTGATTGTCCAGATTTTCTCAACCTGGAAGACATTACACTGAACACAACTTCCGCTCTGGTCAGAATAATATATTTTTTGAAGAAATAATGCATACATGTATAACATTGAAAAAAGAAGATAAATGTTAGATCATTTTTAAAAATGAAAAATTAATGTTACCAATTTTTGAAACCATTCCCAAGAAGCACGTAATATATCCTCAATATAAAGGTAATATTACACGTGAGATTCGTAATATAACGCTGTAATATTACAGTAATCTTACAGTGATCTTAAAATGTCCGCCTCAAGGTAATATTACCGGGAATATTACTGTAATATTAACGGTAATATTACAGCAATATTAACGGTAATATTACAGACTGATTTGAGTTATTCATAAAGCATAAAAAACGTAAATATATTATAAGTCAATTTGGCTTGTTGGTAAAACTCTGGACTCGTGTGCTTTGAGTTCGGGGTTCGATTCCCTGGATGGGTAGATTTTTTTCGTAAAGAAATGTTCCCATAATATTACTGTAATATTCTCTTGTAATATTACCTTAATATTACGGTATAATATTACTGCAATATTACTGTAATATTACCTTAATATTAGCGCGTAATATTACAGTAACATTACCGGTAATATTACCTTGAGGCGGACATTTTAAGATCACTGTAAGATTACTGTAATATTACAACGTTATATTACGAATCTTACATGTAATATTACCTTGATATTGAGGTTATATTACGTGCTTCTTGGGTTGTTTTTTAGAATTACTATATTAAAAGACGATAAATGGAGTTACTATTAATTTTTATGAAAATTTTGTATCTTGGAATCACAGGGTTTTTTTTTTTTGTCAGTGATAACGAATTGGAAATCAAATTTCAAATTGGCTAATTTAATATGGCGGATGAATTTGGAAAAAATTTGCTTTTTTTAAAACCATTTGTAAATAATTTTTTAATGAAAAGACCTAATAATAATTTTCCGACTAGTTTATTCGAACTATTTTTAGTTCCTAAGAGGTTCTTTTGAGATTCATAAGAATGTATAAAATATATAAAAAAATTTCGAAAAGAATATCATTTGAAAATTTACTAAATCTATTACTTTAATTTATTATTAGATATTATTATTTATGATAAACGTATATTGTCTCTATTATAGTAGTTCCAAAAACGATGGCTTCAAATTGGAATTATTAGTATAACTGAAGCTATATTAGATATATTTAAAACTAACAATTACACGGAGAAAAAGAAAAAGTAATTTTTACTACTTTCAGAGTAAAACTGGACCAACTCGAAGTTTCTGCGCATCTCTGGCAATTTTTACTCCAAAAATAGTAAAATTTATTATTTCTGTAGTAAATTTTACTGTTTCCGTAATAAGTTTTACTATTTCTAGAGTAAATTTTACTATTTTTGGAGTAAAAATTGCCAGAGATGCGCAGAAACTTCGAGTTGGTCCAGTTTTACTCTGAAAGTAGTAAAAGTTACTTTATAAAAGAAATCTTTTTTCTCCGTGTACTAAAGCTAATAGATTTGAAACTACCAATTTCATTAGCTTACACCTTTTGTGTTTAGAAAAAAAAATTAAATCTATTATAGAAATTGAAGCTGCGCCAGTAATAGAATGTTGCCATATTTAGAATATTTATATTTAGAACTGGAAATAATTGTAGCTGTCACAATTAAAACTACCAGTTTCATTAGCTAGCTTCCACTATTTCTAGATTGAAGCCGATATCGTTAATTCGCGGCTCGAATAAAGCGACGGTACCAGATTGATGCCGATATTTCGATTCTCTAATTATAAATGTTACACCATCAATTGTTGATATAAATAATATAATATAAATATAATATAATATAAATTAATTTGAAAATTAAAAACAATTTTTCGTCTTTATATATTTTTTTTCACTTTAGTGATAAAAGTTAAAACTATTCTTTTTCTTTTTGCATCCAATATGTGAAATGGACAATAAGAGTTTCGTTTAACAGGCGACCATGACCTGATTTTCTCGAAAAACTTCCGGTTCGAAAGATTGAAACAAATCTTTAAAGTCTTTTAAAGTTAAATCGTGTGTTTAAAAAGGTGTGTGCATTGAAGTAGAGTTGGTTTTACAAGAAAATAAGAAGGGATGTACCTACAGCCATTAGAGAATTGCGTCGACGTTATTGAGGACGGCATCTAAAATAAAGTAGTTAGGAAAGTGACCTGATACTCAAGTTGTTTTTAATACTTTTATTGGATAGTACTGTGCATAATTGCCTTCGCAAACAAGTTTTATACATATGTCCCAACGTCACGAAGAGACTTCACTTGTTTTCACATCATATATATTTATTTACGTCTATATTACTTTATTTACAAAGGGGAAAATTAATCTAAAATGTTTAAATATAATAAATGACATTTTGGTAACTGATTTCTATGAGTGGTTTTTTTTACATGTACCATTTTGAGCTGATATGATTGTTCTTTTCTTTTACGGAAAATTATGTTTCCAATTGATAAATTCTAGCAGTAAAATTTTAATTTTATGTTTTACTGTATGTAAGAAGTATAAAATGATTTACTAAATTACATATTTTTAATTAAACTATTTTTAGTTAATTTTGATTGTTTCAAGTGAATCGAAAACTTCATTTAAACGACTCTTCTTTTTCAGAGAGACAACTACAACTACTTCGATACATAGATGAAAATAACGTAAATTTAATTTGGATAATATCTACACACGTGGAAAATATTTCCTACTAATAATAACATTTTTGCGAAAATGAAAATTGACAAGAAATTTTTCCTTTTGCCTATTTAAATATCTTAACATTATCCATACATAGAAAATATATAAAATATCTTTAGAAGTTTTGATTTTATTGACTTTAAATAAGTCTGATTCAACTTTTGTTTTAAAATTTTACAATAAAAATTACAGAATTTCAACGAATATAAAAAAAAAAAATTAAAAATTATTAAAACTGCGGTACAATAAGATCAGGGACTGTCATCACTAAAACAAAACTAAAAATCACTTTCATGTCAACCCAAAATTAATGTTTCAAAATTTTATTTTTAGATAAATAAATAATAAATTAAGATTTTTACTTTAATTTTAGATTTAGACGAAACTAAATTAAGTTTTTACTTTCGTTTCGAGTTTATGAGGAATTAAATTCATTCATCTACTTTCATTTCGGGTTGATCCATATAAACTAATTTCTCTCTTTTCCTTTCATTTCATTTCATTTCAACCCCGAAAGTAAAAGAAAACTTAACTTTTATAATAGATCTGCCAGAGTTTAGTGTATTTTCTACCTAAAGAGAGAAAATAATGATCATTGTTTTCTTAAAAGTATCAATTTTATATATCAAATTGGATCAAATTGATACTTTCAAATTAATAGTGGATTAAAAAAATAATTAAATAAATAGAGTACAAAAATAAAAAAAATTCCTGAGAGTGAATTATCTCTAAAATTTGAATTAATAAAAAGTCGACTAACTGAAACTAATAAAAAAAATATTGATGAAACAAATTTTGACAAAAAATGAATTTTTTTTTTTTTAATTTCAAGGAATGAAACAACTTTTTAAAATTCATATTTGAAGAGTAATTTTCTATTCTGATTACTGATTTACGATTGATAATCCCTGTATCCTTGATAAGCAAGATCCTGACCAAAGGACACAGTGTCTCCATGATTTTCATGATAATTTGACGAGTAACTTCCTTGATCGTAAGCACTTTGTTGTGCATGATTTTCCTTGTAATGGGGAAAACCAACACCACCATAACTATAGACAGGTGGTTGATAAGATTGTGTAAGTGGTCGGCATAATCTCAAAACTCCTATTATTCCCGGAATGACAATTGCCATGAAACCCAAGAATTTCTTGAAAGAAGCAAGTCCCAATATCAGTGGCAGGAAAAGTAGTAACTTCAATTTGAAGAGCTTCAAAACAATAAGCATTGGAATCAAGATTCTCTTCAATCGATTGCGAGCTGTAAATAAATTTAAATAATAAATATTTTTAAAAAAGCATATAAAAATTATAATTAATAATTTTAAATAATTAATTAATAACAATTAATGAGTTTGTAAAAAGTATTTGTTAATTACAACAACAGCAGCAAAGACGAAAGCGTTTATGAATACAAGTTTTCTTATAATTTTAATTATTATAACTATATATATATGATATAAATAAAAAATATTTGTGTAAACAATATAACAGATAATCTGACAGGTTTTTGAAATTACATGTAGTTCAGGCGAAAGTCACCTGATTCTTTAATGAGAAAAGGTTGAAAATGATTGGAGAAATTTCTGTGTGAAAGGAAGTTGCGTTTCAAAGGATTAACTTTATTCTGCTTAATATTTTTTTGTTTATCCCTTATATTTTTACAAATTAAAAAAAAAAAATTAAAAATACCTTGAATGATATTTATATTGCTTTTGCAAAAATTTTCCATTAATATAAAAAGCTGCGCAAAAGTTATTAAAGTTATTAAATAAAATAAGAAAAATAAAAAGAAAGCGATAAACATAAAAATGAATGTATAATCCATTTGCATAGGGATTTGTTTGTCTCTCTCATCTTTGTGCTATCAGTAAGAATATCAATGACATACACAATATAACGGTATCAAGAATATTACAAACAAAATGGTACCAATGAAAGCTAGATCAAGATATAAACTCGACATGACTTTTTTTTCGCGTTAATCATATCTACATAAGTCCTCAAGAAAATCCACATTGTAAATGAATGGTACCGCAAGAATCAGCATTCCATCACTGAATTAAATATAAAATTTGATTTAAGGAGGGACTAATGAAAAACATATTTAATAGCTACTCTGTTCAATAAAACCTGATATATATAAAAAATAATCAATTTCGTTCTTTCTTTTTTTAACAATATATAACTTTTTTTAAAAAAATGCCATTTGTACTATATATATATATATATATATATATATCTCGATATTTCTCCATAGAGAAATTCCAAAATATAAAAAAAAAATGAGATGTGGAATTTCTGAGTCATCCTTGTTTATAAATCGAGAATTATGATTGGCATTTAGTACTTTCACGGTTAATATATATATCTACTGGTGTAACAACATCAATTCAGGTATAAACTAAGACAACCTACTCTAATCTTCTTTTTAAGTTTTACGTGCCAGATATAAAATACAGATTTGCCTTCGAGGAACAATTTGCAATAAGTAGAACAGTGCATCTAATATTTATTTACGATTATTTCTCATTTGATAGCGCGCTCGTAATTTAGCTCATGTTATATATCAATTTTTTTTTTTCATCACTATATGACAACGTTCAATCATTAATGTAAAAATGTTTTTTAAATAAAATTTTTTTACACAAAATTGGAATACCTAAATGAATCAAGTTTTGTAAGTTTTGATATTTCAATGTACTTTTTTATTTTAATTTATCCCAACCAAAAATTGACAGAGTTCAATACTCAATTTTTGATAGGGATGAATAAGAAACTTGAGAAAAAAAATTAAATATCTTTATAAAATTATTTTGGAAAATTGAAATATGAAAAAAAAAATTGCAATTGCCAAAAAGAATTTGCGGGAGAATTATAGTGTGACTGAAAAGTGATACTTACAAAAGAGAGTGTCTTTCTTATTTTCAATGGTGTCGATTTCATCTGCAATCTCGTCTATAAATCTTGGAGCATAAACTTCGTTCTCTCCAACAGCCCAAGATGGAATGTCCACTTTAAAAGCCACAGTTTTGACAAATTTCTCAGCTTTTCTCATTGCAAACTTCACCAGCTGATCCCATTCTGAATCTTCTGATCTGTGACAGAAAATAAATTTGATAAAAATACATAAAATACAAAAAACACAAAAAAAATACATAAAATACAAAAGACATAAAATGAAAAAATACAAAAAATAAAAAGATACATAAAAAAAAACATAAAACAAAAGTATCGGATTGATGTACAATCAGTTTTGGTAACTATTATTCCGATACATTCCGAAATTTGTTTCCGAACCAATCAGTTTTTATCCAAATTAAAATTTGTATACGTAACTCAACAAAAAATTCTTTACGGATCATTGCTATTCAATCCGTTTAATTTTAAAGCTTAATTTTAATCCTTTTGAATCCTATAATTTAATTCTGAATCAATATAAATTAATCTAAAGCTAAATTTTAATTCTTTTAAATTATGAAATTTCATTTCGAATAAATCCAAATCAATTCGTTTCCAAGCCAATTGGATTGATTCGAAATGAAATTTCAAGATTTAAAAGAATTAAAATTTAGTTGCAGAATAAAACAAATTGGTTCGAAAAAAAAGAATGTAAAAAAATTAAAATTTTGAGTTGCATACAAGTGTACTTTCGGATAAAAAATAATTGGCTCAGAAACAAATTTCGGAATATCTCGGAATATTACTTATTAAAATTTAAAACTATTTGAAATTTAAACCGAAACTTTCGTCAGGGATATAAAAAGAATACAAATTAAATAAATTTTATACGAAAAAAAAATATGGAGAGAATATTAAGACTATATTTTAATTCTAATTATACCTAGGAGCACTCGCATATTCGTAAGGTTGTTGATTAACACTCTTAACAACATCCCGGGGCATTCTGATTATTTTAACGCTTTCACTGAGTGTATATTCTGGTTGATCGAAAAAATCGGAAAAAGTGTTGAGCGCCCGAGATTTAAAGCATTCTGCAAAGTCACCATTTAGACAAGCTTCATTTGTTCTCGCCAAATAAGAATCGACATGACGTCCCGTTCCAAGACCAATCCAGTCGAAAAGATCTTTTCCTTGTCTCGATCTATTCAGCAATTGTCGACCTTCTGAACTTTGATTTTCAAACCTTGGCACCTCATCTAAAAGAAAATTTATTATAAATTTCATTTCATGTGTCATTTGCACCTGTTGATTAATGATTTTTTAATGAATTGTTATTGTTGATTAATTTTTTAATATAATAATTAATTTTTCAATATAATTATAATATTCTTTTTAATATAATTATTTTTATATTAATTATAACAAAGTGTCTAAACGTCCGTCTATAGCCACCCGACTTTGTCCGCAGAATACTTTCGGGCATTTCCTATCCCCCCCCCCCTTCCTCCTAGGTTTCCTTAAAATTTACGTAGACGGACAAAATTATCAAAAATTATTTTGTCCGTCTAGTCGGACAAATAGACGCACGGTAATTATAATTGCATTTATTTATTAATAAATTCAATTTGAAGTAAATAAAATTTTAATAAAGCCTTGTAAATCCCTACTCTATAAATTTGAATTAGTGATAATTCATTGACTAATTTTTTTACTATTTGGTTTAGTAATATTTTTTTACCTAAAGTTTTATTGAAAAATGGCCCAAAAAAAGAAATTAGTAGGGGAATATACTCAGGGTTGGACACTTCGCTTTTCTTAAAATAAGAACACTAACGCCATCTATGCACGGACGTGGCGAAGCTTTTCGTATTGAAACCTAACTTTTTGTGCAATTGCATTTTTGGAGGATCAAAAGTAGCGTCTGCTGTGACGTCGGTGCATTTGTAGGAACGAAAAAAGTTTTGTGAGCGATGTGATTAAACATAAAAAATGAATAAAGAAAACAAGAAATCGGAAAGGTAAGTTTATTGCATGTATTTTGGGGTTCATGATTGAAGAAAAAATGAAGTGAAAAATCGAATCGCGAAACATGTCTTGTTATGGTTAGCACAATTCGAAAATGTTACTTCTACTTAAGGTTGGACACAATTTATAAATAAATATACAAATAAACATTGACTCACACACACAGCACATATTCTGCCAAAGATATTAGAAAAATAATAATAACGTTAAAAATGAAAAAATGAACCTAAAAATCGTTTTCAGTAACATTATAAATAATATTAATTGTCAATTATAAATAATAATAATGTAAAAATGAAAAATAAAGATAAAAAACGTTTTCAGTAACGTTATAAATGTTATTTTATTTTTTTACCTATAATTCGCTTCAATTTTTACAAAGTGTCCAACCCTGAGTATAATGTCCAACCCTGACAAGATTTTTATTTTTTTTTAAATGATCAGAACTTTTTTAATTTTAGACCAATCAATTTACGATCTTCAGCAAAAGTGTTCCTCTTTTGTACATCTTTCTAACAATATAAGTTAATTAACTAAATTTATTTTTTTCAATAAAGATTATAAACAAAATCCAAAACCGTGTCCAACCTTAAGTATATTCCCCTACACTGTAAAAAAAAGGAGTTGGATTTAAACTCCTTAGGGGATGCTATAAAAGTTCCACCCTTTTGGAGTTGAAGCGAAGGGAGTTAATGCTTTTCGAGTTAATTTTATGCCTACAGAGAGTTGGTTTTAAGGAGTTAATTTAATTATTAACTCCTTTTTTGAGTTGATTTTTAACTCAAAAAATTTAACTCCCAACTCCCAGTAACGTTAACTCCCTAATTTTTTTACAGTGTATATAAATATTCATTAATTTAAATTACTGAACGAATTCTGACTAATTAAAATTTAGAGAGCATTAAAATTTTCTAAAATATAAATTATTATATGAAAAAAGTATATCATATAATCCTAATTGAAATTAAAAATAAAGAAAACATTTTTCTTTACAATTGAACTTGAAACACACAAATAAAGTCTTATGTTTATGAGATTTTATTATAAATAATTTGCACTTACACAAGTAATATAGTTTATAAGTGAACAATTATTCTATGTTAAATAACTTTAATTAACCGTGGGGAACGAGAAATTATTTCCTTCACTGTGTATATATACGAAATATTTTTGAAACGAATTATTAAAATAAAAAAATGTTTTCCATTTTTTTTCCATAATTAGTGAATTTAGATTAATGTTGATTTGCATTAATTTAAAATAATAAATTTCAAATTAAGATATAAAATTGGCAACAATATATACCCGGAAAGTAGATTGTCCTCTGTGAACGTTATGTCTGACTATAACTGTCCACTTTCACTTACTGCACTTATCACTATTTAATAATCGAACAATGTGCGCGACGCTCTTGGCAATAAGTGGAATACGTATGATTCAGTCAGACAAAGAGATCATTTCAAAAAGTAATGCGTTTTTACTGTTATTAAATATTATAAATAAATAAGAATATATTTCAAATATTATTTACATCGAAATATGCCGGATATAATAATGAAACTAATGTAATGAATATAATCAATATTAAATTATATAATAGAACAGACAAAAATTTTATAAATAAAAAATAAAAATTATGTTCAAATTTAAAAAATATTTTTAAACATATATTTAAATAATTAATAAAAATTGAATTTATCACTCATTAAGAGTTTTAAATGAGAAAAATTATTAATCACTCCCGAGTCAATATTGACTTGAAGTATGATTAAAATATAAAGGATTTTAATAATATTTTAAACAAACAATTAATAAAAAATGTCACCCATAAAAATTATGAATAATATAATTTATCTCAAATATAAAGTTTTTTTGTGAAAAAAGTGTGAAGAAAAAAATTTTAATAAGAGATAATATTTAAAAAAAAATATAATAATGAACGTGAGACACTAACCACGAGCTGATGAACTTTCTTCTGATGTTTCATCCTGGAAAGTAATTTTACTAGCCTGACTATGTACCAACACCAGATTTATCGACAGAGTAAAAGTAAATATAAGCAATAGTTGTACTAGACGCATTCTGCTTTCTCGACGTTGGGATCTGTAACAAAACAAAATTATTTATCGACTCTGATTTACATTTCAAGGTTCTCTCATTTAATTTTTTCATTAAAAAAGCAATTTTCTCTATCAATAATCGTTTTTTATTTTAATCACATTTTTCTGCATTTTATTGCAACACTAAATTCTTTAAATTAAACTTTCAAAAAAAAATGATACAAAATTAGTTATAAAAAAAAAATGCAAATTAAAATTGCATTACAGAATTTTTAATCATGAAATTGAAATTATCGTAAATTAAATTTAAAAATATATTTATTATAAATATAATATAGAATATTATAATGTATAAAAATAAAAAATAGAATACTTTAAAAAAAAAGAATATAAAATATTATTTATTATAAATATTATAAATATAAATATATATAAATAAATTTGTATTAGAATAAATAAATAAATGACAAATTCAAAAATAATTAACGGTAAATTCAAATTAATAATTATTAATTAAAGTATAATTAAATTAAAAAAATTAAGTAAACACTAAAAACAATCACACTGCCGGAAAATTTTTTGATTAAATTAAAAAATACCACTTTTTAAATTAATTTTTCATATTTGGGTTGGGCAATAAATGGGACATAATGAGTAAATTTTCGGAAATATCGCGATAAAATTTTTGTACATATTTTTTTTTTAAGTTGAACCAAAAGATTCGAATATTAAGCAAATAGTAAATTTTTTTTTTATATAGTGAAAATTGTAGTCTTACCAAAAGTTGAGTTGGGTCATCTTTAATATTTTTATTATCTATATATATATATATGTAAGAAAGAAAAACTTCGAGACGTTGATCGCAGACCGCGGCAGACGTTTAGCAGGCCAACTGTCAGTGGAACCGGCGTGCTTATGGTTACAAAGTTCCGTTACATGGCCAACCAATCAAAATCATCTTAAAGTCAAACCGGGTCCAATGACTTGTATTTCAAACGCGCGCGCATCATTTCTAACGTACGTTATCATTTTGAAATATACTATATATAAATAATAATATTCTTTCCTCTCACGTAGATTATAAATCTTTGCAATGTAATTACTGCTAATTACATAAATTAACGATAAACAATGATAAATCACTGTTCATAAGTATATAACTTATATTTAATCTACTTTTTGCATTCAAAACTATGAATGGTTGACATTGTTATATACACTGAAAAAAGGGTTTGGTATTGACAAGCAAACGTTTGGTTGGTATTTAAGCAACAAAAATTTTTTTATTGAATCAACAAAATTTTAATTGTCTCAACCAAAATTTGTTTGACACAAGAAAAATTAGAAAAAAAGGATTTTTGTTGTCCTAACTAAAGTTTGATTAAGACAACAAAAATTTTGTTGATTCAACAAAAAAATTTTGGTTGCTTAAGTACCAACCAAACGTTTGGTTGTCAATACCAAACCCTTTTTTCAGTGTACATATATATATATATATATATATATATATATATATATATATATATTTCTACGATTAGGGATTGAGAATAATGACTTTGTTCGCAAATTTGAATAATTAAAAATTTTATTCTTCTTCTGTTTAATTTTTTTTTTTAATTCACAATTACAAAAAGTGACGAATAATTTTTGTACCGGAAAATTTGTTCTATTAATTTGATTTTAATGATCTATTAAAGTAATTTTCTCATTAAACAATTACATATTGTTATAAAAATTAAAACACTATAAATTGTAGCTATAAATATGGTTTTTTATTTTTTACAATTTAAATGCGATAGACATTTATAATTGTAATTAATGTTTACAAATTAAATTGTCATATTTTTTTAAATGTAAAAAAATAAAAATATTTAACTTTAAAAAAAAAAGAAAAAAATTTTATTTATTTTATTAAATAATTTTAAAAAATTCTTTTATTTTTTTAAATAAAATTTTTTATTCCAAATACGATTTTTTATAACTGGACAATTATTTATCACTTAGTAAGTAATTAATTTCCTTTTTTTTCTGAAATCAAGAAACAAATATCTTACCCAGTTGCAAAGAAATAGCTGCAGTATTTCTTCAAAATTTCGAATGTACAAAACAATTTCACTATTATAGAAAATTTGAGTATGTTAAAAATTAAAAATTGAATTAAATTAAAATTGAAACAAATTAATTGAATCTTTCATTTGTTAAAAATGATAAAAGAAAAGAAACCCAGTTAGTTCGTGGGCAATTCAACATTTGAGAGATCATTGCTCTGGACCAAGGATTTATATACATATCGGGAAAAGAGAGACGAAAGATCCGCGTGGGTCGCTCGCAGAAGGGAAATTATCAAATACAAAAATAAAGAGAGTGAAAGTGTTCCCAGGAATCAGAAACGGAACTTGGGCGATTTTAAATTGTTATTAAAAAAAAAAGCGGGAGAAATATATTACGCGACGAAGGAGAAGGACCAATAAGAGAGGCTATTTTGAGTCATCTTGGACTTTCCTTTGTAACTCCTTTATAACACAAATATGAGTCATCAATCTGCTAATTCGATTTTCTCCTTGCCTTCACCATAATATTGTTAACATTTCTTTCACAACTGATTTCACATACATAATTTGAAGATCGTTATATAATATGGATCAAATCTGTTTTTTTTTTTTTAAATACTTTGAAATATCGACATTTGACATTTGAAACAAATACAAAATCACAAATTATTTTTTAACTTTTGTTTTTAAATAAATACTTTTAAATAATTTAAATTACTTGACATTTTTTGTTTGTTATTAACAACTTATAAGAATAATTTAAATTAATTTTCTAAATTTTTTTAAATATAGAAGAAATTGAATGGAAATATTTAAAATCGTTTGAAAGGCGATGAAAGTGTTCCTCACGTAATCTTGGAAAATCCCAACTTGATTTCTATTCAGTTTAATCCTACTAATAAAAATTCAAAAATAATTACATTACAATATAAAAGAATCTTTTAAAAACAAAAGTAAAAAAAAACAAATATAAATAAAAATCTATTAGAAAATAATTCAGAAAAATATCACAAAAATTTCTCAAATATTTTCAAGAAATAATGTCAACAAATTTATTTTCAAAACTACGAAAAATTTAACTATTTTGATAATAATTAAATCGATAAATAATTACAAAATAATATTTATACGATTATTATAATGAAGTACCATAAGATGGGGTTATTTCGCTCATTGCGGGTAAATTCGCTCACCAAGTTATCTGCTTTAAATTATTTTTAAACTAATTTTTGATACTTCTATGAAGAAATTCAACATTTTAACTGGGTAATAAGAGTATCAAATTTTATTTTAAATTTGTCATGAAGCAGACAACTTGGTGAGCGAATTTACACGCAATGAGCAAAATAACCTCGTCTTATGGTACAAAAAAAATATTGCTTTACGTAAATTGTAATTTATAATATTAACGAAGAAATTTCTTCAATAATAAGAAACAATTTTCACGTATTTTTTCTTAATTAAATAATTTTCATTTCTTTACTCCTCAATTTCTTTTTCCTAAAAAGACACAGAATTTTTAAATGCAGAAAAAAAGTTCACTATATGTGTCACTTCTGTATTTTTGATAACTGCCATTTACAAAATAAATTATTATCAATAAGTTCCATCACGACATCAATCACAATTAATTATAAACCATTGTTGTTCTCAAAGAAGAAAAATTCTCTAAGAACTAAAATCATTCACATAATATGGTATACACAAAAATATATAATACAATTCACGTAAAATAAATATAAAATTACAAATCTCTTCGATTCAGAGAATAAATTGAAGAATGAAAAGAAAAATTTATTTGATTTAAATAATCAATTATTATCAAATAAATATTTACTTGAATCAAATAATTTTTATTTAAATCAAATAAACTGTAATTGTACCATTAATTTTTCTATTTGAAACAAATTGACTCACATGAAAAATGTTCAATAGAAATAAATATTTATTTGAAAGTCAAGTAATTGATTGGTTGATTGAAATAAATTTTTTTTTTCAATGTAAAATGTGATCTAATTAAAAAATATCTAATTTCATATATCTAAACATAATGGTAAAATAAATAGACGAATTTCGTTTAAATAAATATTCTTAATTCTAATATTCGCAGCTCTTTCAAAGATCGATATATTAAGGTGCTCCACACCCTAATTTCAATTCTACAAAAATTATTGTATTTTATAATTAATTAATTATCAATTAATTAGTTAATTATAAAGAAGTTATAAAAAAAGTTATAAAAATATTTTTCACTTAGAAATTGGAATTTTTTCTTAATATTTGTATTTGGCATTAACACTATTTTGCTTTGTGCGGAGCACTTGAGCATTAAATAAACTTGTCTTGTAATTTTATAATTTCTTTACAAGTATTTTTTATAATTAAATCATATCAATCATTATCAATAAAAATTATTATAATCTCAACTATTTATTTTCATAATTCTTTCAAGTTCCTTTTTTGTTAATTCTTTATCAGAATTCTTTCTTTCTTTTTCTAATTGTATTGAAATGATTTTTTCTTTTCAATTTCTTTATTTTCTACTTTTTTAGAATTTTTCTTGAAATTCTTTAAAATCACTGACCCCTCATTTTTCAAAACTTTCACTTAAAAACTCTAAAATAGTTTTTTATTTTTACACTTTTCAAAAGTCAATAAATTAAATAATTCTTCATTCGAACAATACGAATTTGTCACAAAGTTTTTTTTTTTCTTTTTCTTTTTGAAATTCGAGAAATTTTTCAAAAATAATTTTCAAAATACTATAAATTTAAAATTTTCGCGCATGCACTAATTTATCAATATCCTGATAGGTGGCCAGCATTGCCTGATTTTGTCTTGTACTATCGTCACGGGGAATTTCACAATTTGAATAATAATCTTCACAATTAACACCATCTTGTCCATCCTTTGCGGCTTTCATGTAATGGAAAAATCGTAGGACTTCAGGATTATCGGATGTGGGTTTTCGTAATTCATTCAACTCCCTGGATAATTGAGCAGAGACTAGGTTTGAATATGGAGCAAATCGTGCTGGACTTCTGTATATGGCGCAAACGACAAATTCTCGACATCCTTCTGTTTTGTAACCCAATCTGTAGAAGACCGCGTCCAATCGCGATAACAATGGCGAGTAGAAAGGATCGTAAGTTTTCAGCAGCGACGAACTTGTTGGAATCTCATGGAAAATCTGTTACAAAAAGAATTTAGGAAAAAAAGAGTATTTTTTGTCATAATCAATTAATCAGTTTTGTAAGAATAAAAAAAATTACTGGAAATTTTAATTTTTTATTAATGTGGGTCTACGTTGGGGTAAACTTTTTTTAAATTTATAATTATTTAAAAAAAAAAACTTTTCTTTTGGTTCATCAAAAAGCAAAATTTCTTATTTAATATTTAAACTACTAAAAAAATATTTCAAAATACATGTAAAACTTTACTTTTAATTTACTTCGACATTTTCAATATCTAAAAGTGACTTTTACTACTGAATAAATACTTATAAAGAAATGAAACTAATATTCTTTCTCTCTAAATTTGAATTAGTGAGAATTCTATCACTAATTCAAATTAATATAAATTTTCACTAATTTTTAGTAAAATATTAATATTTCATTTAGTAATATTTTTTTTTACTAAAGTTTTAGTGAAAATGACTAAAAATTAGTAGAAATTTTCACTTAATTACATTAGTGAACGAATTCTCACTAATTCATATTTAAAAAGTTGAAAAAAATAATGTTTAGTTTTTTAATTTGATTTATTTGGATAATTTCTTTGTCTGACTAAACTGGCTTTTTCTACTTAATTTTGTTTATTCAATTCAATATTATGAATTTCTGACTAAAGTATTTAATTGTATTAAAGTAAAATTTCTGACTACTGAAAAGAAATTTAATTGATACGAAAATATTCAAACAATTAATATATGTCTTTGATTTTTTTTTTTTTTTTAATGTCAGACTAAGAATAATTTATACTACTGAAAAAAAGTGCATTAAAAATGCAAAAAGACACATAAATATTAGAAAGATTCAATGTCTGTCTATAGTGTGGTTCATTCTACTGTCGCAATAGTGAAAAATATTTCCACCAATTTCCTGCAATCATATACATCTAATAGAAAAATATAAATTTATAATATAATAAACAGAAGCGTCAGAAAGTAAAAAAAAATAATTTAACAATGAACTAAAGCAATCATTGGTAAAGAAGCAAAAATTGTTTTTAGAGCGGCACAACAATTCGATTTTAAATCGAGAAAAGTTCTCAAGTGGAAAATGAGTGGACAACGTATTTTTCAAATGAACGGAGAATTTTTTCTTTAGCTATATATAATTTTTACAGTTTATTTTTTTGGGAAGAATGAACGAAAGTTGATCAATAAGAAGCGAAAATAGTTCATCAGCCAATTAAATTAATGAAGAGAAAGTGATGTCGCTATTCGAAAAAAAAATTAACTGATCATTATATAGATTTTGTCGATTAAGATCATTTTTCTAGTAGGAAATAATTTTCTCTTATTATAATTATTAAAGGTTTTTGAAACTTCTAGAAATAAGATAAATCATTTTTTATAACGAAAATTAGTTCAAATTAACTAATTACTTTCTATTTGAAAAAAACTATTTATATATCTATATTATAGAATAATTATAAGAGTCTTTTGAAGAATAAATAGAAAATCTTGACATAGAGTTGAAAGAAAAAACCGAAAGGAAAGAAATAATTATTATAGTGATTTGAATACAGGTTTTCGTTTAAAATAAAAACACTGTATCATGGGAAAAAATTTTAAAGAAAAACAAAAAAAAAAAAAAAAAAAAAAAGAATATCGATTACTATACCTTGAAGTCTTGCTTTTTTGACGAGTATCCATTGTTTGCTGTGTGCCTCGAGTAATAACGATCCGAAAATGTATTCATATGAGGAAATCTTGGATCAACGTATGAATAACGGGACGCTATTTCCGGTGTTTTTTGCGTCTGTAACATGCCCTCTTCATACATGGCGGATGCTGGTAGTGTTCCCACGGGTTGTCGATTCATATAATCATCCCCATAACCCTCGAGATTCTCCTTAAATTCAAAATTCTCCTCCTGCTGAGGATTAATGCTCTGCGACGATTGGGCAAACGACGAAACTCCTGTCAAGATTGATAAGAAAGGAATTTTCAATTTTTTTTTTTTTTTTTTTTTTTATCAAGTAAAATCAATAAAATATTTCTCTCAATTAATTTAATTTAAATGGGTCATTCCATTATATTTCACCTAAAGTCGTTGCGGCCTAATTTTTAAAGAAGTTGATACTTTCAGAAATGATTTTTTATGATATTTAGGAAACGAAATAAAAAGAATTAAGTTTAAATTTTTATTATTTATCTCAAAATATGTATTTAAAGTGGACAAGGTGCGGAAAAATGTCACCTTTTTAGCATTTAGAAACTTTTTTTAAAAACATAGAAAAATTGTTAAAAGTGTAAAAAAAATTATTTTTTCTTGTTTAGAATCGATTAATTATCTATTTTTTAATGATTAAAGTAGTAAATAAATTAAAATAATATATAAAATAAGTTTTCAAAGTTGGTCTGTCAAATAACCTAATTTTGGGATTTTTATTAATTAATTACTAAAAAGTGGAGTTATTAAATAAAATAAAAACTTACCGAATGTAAAGTATTTGTGGTGAACTTTCAAATTTTCTTAGCACTTTGTACTTTTTAAATTTATAAATGTAAAAAATCTTGAGTCGAAAATTTGCACTTTGTTGACTTTTCCGATTTTTAATCGCTTGTAACTCTTTTGGTGCAAAATAAAAACTTTTGAAACCTTGTGGAATATTTAAGTTAAATCTAAATAAAAACTCACTTAAATTTTTGTGATGGATTTTGATCGAGATAAGGAGAAAATTTAATTCCAAAATTGTACGTATATTTCCAGGTTAATGTATGTAATTTTTTTAAACTTGAAGTTGGGCCACTACTTCAAAGACGAAAAATTACATACATTAACCTGGAAATATACGTACAATTTTGGAATTAAATTTTCTTCTAATCTTGATCAAAATCCATCACGAAAATTGCAGTGAGTTTTTATTTAGATTTAACTTAAATATTCTGCCAGGTTTCAAAAGTTTTTATTTTGCACCAAAAGAGTTACAAGCGATTAAAAATCGGAAAAATCAACAAAGTGACAATTTTCGACTCAAGATTTTTTACATTTATAAATGGAAAAAGTAAAAAGTGCTAAGAAAATTTGAAAGTTCACCGCAAATACTTTACATTCAGTGAGTTTTTATTTTATTTAATAATTCCACTTTTTAATAATTAATTAATAAAAATCCCAAAATTAGGTTATTTGACAGACCAACTTTGAAAACTTATTTTATATATTATTTTAATTTATTTACTACTTTAATCATTAAAAAATAGATAATTAATCGATTCTAAACAAGAAAAAATAATTTTTTTTACACTTTTAACAATTTTTCTATGTTTTTAAAAAAAGTTTCTAAATGCTAAAAAGGTGACATTTTTCCGCACCTTGTCCACTTTAAATACATATTTTGAGATAAATAATAAAAATTTAAACTTAATTCTTTTTATTTCGTTTCCTAAATATTATAAAGAATCATTTCTGAAAGTACCAAGTTTTTTAAAAATTAGGCCGCAACGACTTTAGGTGAAATATAATGGAATGACCCAAATATACAATTAAAATTAAATTTGTAACTTAAATAAATTGAATTTTATTTAAGTAAATTAAATTTTATTGTAATTCAAAAATTAAAATAAATGAAAAATTAATCAAAGAAAATAAAGAAAAAATTCGTTTTTTTTATAAAAAAGAATTTTGTGTTTAAAAAAACTGACCTTTGCCAACAATTTTACCAATGCTTCCAATGATACTCGGCAGGAACAGGGCAATGAGAATGCTCTTGACAATTTGCGCGCCAAGAATCAACGGCAAAAGAAGTTTCTTGAGACCAAATGCTAAAAAACCAAGTCCGAAGCCTGTTAAAAACGTACTCTTTCCCTCAAAAACAGCTGAAAGCAAAAGTACCAGCAATTAAAGCGTTGTTAGTCCTTCAAAAAAAAGCCATGCTGCAACTTTTTGTCCTTTCGTCCTTTTTTTTCTCTCTCTCTCTCTCTCTCTGACGTTTATGATTTTTTTTTTTGATTTTTTTTTTGCTATCCTCGAATTTTTTCCTCTAGACTGCACTGCATTTATCTATACATATATAAATTCTGTGGAAAAAACTCCGTCGAGAGATTTTTTTTTCTATTGGACAAGCTTGCTCTGAAATTGCAAAGGGCTAAAGCCGATTCTTTTTTTTTTAAATCAAGAATCATATATTCATGCGCAATTTATATTAGTTATATATTTTTTGTTTTATAAATTTAATTTTTTTTTGTGAGCAATTTGGAGCAACTTACAATGCAAATAAAGCCAAAATGCATTACAAAAGCAAAATTATAGATTCAGCGTATTGATTTTATGAAAATGTTAATTTAAAAAAAAAAAAATAAAACAAAAAAAATTATAAAATAAATAAAGAAAAAAAATAATAAAAAATTAAATAATTATGGTATTATGCAAAAATGTTCTTAAATTAGAGCTAATGTGAACAAAAGCTTATGTGCTCAATTTGCAAATATCTAGAATATGAAATTAAAAATAGCAAATGAAATTTTTAATTACGGTGAAAAAACTGCTTCAGTAAATGATAATATGTATAATGAAATTTTTCTTTATATATTATTGAAAAGTAAAATTTTAAAACCACTTAATGACTTACTCATGCAAAAATGTTTTTATTTTACCACGCAAGTAATTAATTTATTTCTATATATGTGACCACGTCTGGGAAAAATTTGTTTACGACCAATAAAATCGATTTTCATTTTTTTTTTATCGATTCTAATAATAGGAAAAAGTAACTCTGCTTATGAATTCCATGATAAATTTAAAATATTCAAAATGGCGGATTCAATATGGCGGAAATTTTTTTAAAAATTGGCCGTATTCTTTTCAATTTGGTTACTTGAGGGGTTTTTGGGATCGCTGATTACGAATCTGCAATGAGATTTTCAATATTCAAAAAGGCGGATCAAAAATGGTGGAAGAATTTTTAAAAATTAAGAATTTATTACCAGATTAGTAGTCAGTGACACTGAAAAACTCTGGATAACGAGTTTTCAATACATTATATCAAACTATAGACTTGTTTAGGTACTTTAAAAGCATTTTTCATGAAAATTTGATTTTGGTCGTAAGTACTATTTTTCCAGATGTGGTCATTTATATACATATATTTAGCATGCCCTCCAAATTTCATTCACTGTTGCAGTGTTCTAATACTGTGGATACAATTTCTTTCTTATTTATTAAATAATCATTTAATTATTTATTTGTCAATTAAATATTTTCTCTAAATTCATTTTTATTTGATTTTACTTTGAATTTTAAGAGATATTTGTAATTGTCAAAAACAAATGCAAATAAATTAAATTTTTACATAATGTCTAAATAAAATAAATATTTAATTAAAAAAATTTTAATTTTTCATTTATAAAAGAAGAAAAAGATTTTGAATTTTGTGAAAAATTTTGAGTAATGGAATTCAAGTACCGCCCAAATGGTATAAATAAAATTTGCGTACGATCTCATTTTGAAAGGAAATTATTCCACAGCAAAGAGGAAGTAATGCTAACGGCAAAATGTATATATATACATATATATATATATATATATATAGCGTTGATAGTGGAACGCGTGCAAAGCAAAACCTTTCTCTGATAATATACTTACAGCCGAAGAACGTCCTCGACTTTCTCGCCGAGATAAGATCACCGGGTATGTGTATTTTAAGAACATGATTTTTTGCAAAAAGTTGAACTTTTTCAATCAAAGAAAGTCCGTTCTGTTGACCCGTGGCATTATTATGTTGATTCGTGATATTTTCACTTTTGACAATTTGCACCAAATCAGTAACATTATATTCATTGGCCGTCGATATTGTATCAATGAAATCTTCAAATTTTGCCTGTAAACATGTCACATTAAAATAACTATCACAAGTCACGGATTTTTTTTTACGATTCACTGGTATTTTTCTTGTTGTATTTAACGTTGACAATCGTTGCGATTCAGAATGATGTAAATTTTTATCATCAGTAAGCGTCAATTGTGTGATGTCAATGTCAAATTTTGTTGGTTTCCCTGGATAATTATGATCGAGATCATTTTGATAATTTTTTTCATTAATTTTCGTTTCATTCCAATCGGTCACCTCGTTCGTGTGAATGAGCTCGTTGTCGTATGTCGTAAGATTGAGTGATCTTCGTGTTTCGACGACCTTGACACCAGTGACCCACTGTAAAGTCACAATTGTCAAGATCACGATCATAAGTACCACACTTCTATCCTTGGCCATTCTCGATTCTCCTTTCTCTCTCTCTATCTCTCTTTCTATCTCACCGCATATATAAAGTCGAGAAACTCTCTCACGATGGTCCTGTCGGCGCTACAAATGCTCGTTTCGTCTGAGTAACTGCATCTCGGTCGACCAGCCAAGCTTCTGACACCTGAAAATCAACCGCATAATAAACGAACCATTCACTAGTGTATATATTGATTTTTCTAAGTGATTCTTTTTTTTTTGAAAATGTTCATCTTTGGATTTGAATAATAAAAAAATTTATTGTATCATATATCTGTTAGAAAAAATGGTTTCAAGGGTTCATATCACTTTACAGGCCTATATAAATTCTAGAATCTACTGAATACGAATCTGATGTTAGTTTTTTAAAATTCAAAATGGCTGATCCAATATGGCGGACATATTTTTCTAAATTCGGCGATTTTTGCTTGAAACAAGTTACTCATAAGGGTTTTCAAGGTCGCTAATTACGAATCTGATATTAGTTTTTTAAAATTCAAAATGGCGGACATATTTTTATAAATTCAGTTTCTTTGTCCAATCAAAACAAATAACGTTCAATGAATTATAAAAATATATTAGTTTTAAAAATTTACAAAAGTGTAGTATATGATAATAAAACTATTTTATGGAAACGTGGATTGATGTAAAATATAGAAACAAAAGACGAGCGCTTAGATGTCGAAAACACATTGTTTCTCGGTCCAATAAAAAAAAAAATGATGGTTTATAAGTAGATCTTCATATTGAATCAGCAATTTTGAATTTTAAAATACTAACATCATATTCGAATTCAGCGACCCCGAAAACCCCTGAGCAACAAGTTTTAAGTAAATTCTAATGATTTTTAATTTTCCTGTCCGCTATATTGGATCCGCCATTTTGAATTTTGAAAAACTAAAAAAGATCTAGATCATTATAATTTATAGGGATCGTATAGAAAAAATTCTAGAAAATAGCTTAAATTTTAAGTCGTGTAAAATGGTATAAACCCTTATATATGCTTTTAGAAAAATTTTACTCTTTCAACATAAAAATCTTACCTTCCTAGAAATTATTTATTTTTATTTATTATTTGAAAATTTACATTTAAAAAAAAATGAGAAATTAACATAGAAATTAATTAGCGCAATTCATTTGCTAATTACATGATTTGGATCATATGTGTGAACAAATTAAGATAATTTTTTTATTATTAATATTATATTATTTTAATTTTTAATTTTAAGTTTAAAACTATATTAACAATTAGAAAAAATTATTATAATAATTGATCATTTAATTAATATTTTTTTAAAAGAAAATATTGTTTAATATACCTACATAATTTAGTCAAAAAATTTTAATAATAATTTAAAATTGTTTTTTCCGTTTTGTAATGCTTTAGAAAACTTTCCCGACAAACAGTTTAAACATGACCTTTTTTCCTAAGCACGTACTCATATTAGCATTTGGATAATAACAATAATTCAAAGAAAAAATGTTATTTTTAAAGAATATTCAGTTAACAGTTGATCAGAAAGTTTAGAAAATACAATTTTATAAAAAATAAATTTCAAGATGAAATTTAAATCTCATTTTCAAAAAGTCAAAAATTTAACTCAAAGTTAAAATTTAAATTCCATAATAAATTATTTAAAAACCCTTTAAGTAATTATGAAATAATAAAAAAATTTTGAACTTTTAAAAGTTCAATGAAAAAAAATTTAAATGAATTAATTACTTCTTTTTTTTTGTGTAAATATAACCGCAAATTTAATACCTTGATTGAGATTTGTTTTATTTTCTAAACGAGTGTGAATTTCAGGTTTGTGAAATGGAAAAACACATTTCCATGTCACTTAAAATTCCTGAAACGGACTTGTGAACTTTTTTTTTAGATTTGCCTACTAATGATCTTTACCATCGATCCCAAAGAAAGCTTTACTATAAATATATAAGTAGTACAGGTTAATGTCAATGACAAACATTGAATATAAATTATAATATTATATTTTCATATATATTCGCACGTTTCCTCAAATTTTATGTTCGTTGTGAAAATTAATCTCGGTTCTTCAACTTTGAACATCATTCAATAAATTAATTTAAATAATTAAAGTAATAAAAATAATAATAATAATAATAATAACTAATTTATAATTATTTATTAATTACTGCTAAATATTTAATTCTTAAAAATTTTTTTACGATAAGAAAAAAATTAATTGAAACATATAATACTTTATGATGCAATTTTTTTAAGAGCACTATGAATTCCAAGAATAACATGTATGAATTAAATATTATTCTAATTACTCATTTTTGTTGAGCATTATGATAATTTATCATATGTATATGATAATAATAACTTGAAAACAAGTAAAATTTATAATAATGAAGATATCTTTTAAGGAATTATGCAAATTACACATTGTTGTAGATTGTGTAATACATATTTTTTTCTCATCTACATTTAAAAATAATTTCTAAAGTATATAATGCCAAGATTGCCAGATATATAAATAAGGTCGCAAGTTATTGAATGAGGGCACACGTTTTGGGAACTTTTATATATAAAACCGGCTTTTCGGTCAGTTGGGCCACTTGAGCCAAACTCTCACTCATGAACAAAAAAAAAGGAGGAGTTATCATATCTTCTAATTCTCATTATTGGTGTCATCATGTCAAAATCTTGTTTATACTTTTAAATAGTAGCATTCTCCTCTGATGATGCGAGAAAAATACCTTCTTCTTAAAGTTCATTCAACTCTTGTAAACAATAATACACACACATATATATATATATATATATATATATATATATACACGCGGAAAATAAAGAAATTTCACTCCGGGTCCCAAAATTGAGAACATACTAGCTTTCATTTTTAATAATAGAGATTTTTTTATGTGAAAAAAAATCTTCCGGAAGAAATTGATGCGTTTCTTTTTCCTACTAGAATCAATTTTCCAGTTTAGAAATGAAATAATCGAATGCAAATCTCTAATGTTATAAACAAAATGTTGATGACAATAGACCATTCATGTTTTCAATGATTCTTAACTGAATGAAAGTTTATCTTGTGCGTTGATCTTAATAAAGTTGTGTGTACACAAACTGGTAACAAAACGTATTCTCGAGATAATCAACTTTCTAAACGAATAATAGCCAATCAAAAACAAGTCAACTATATATATATATATATATTTTTAATCAAGACAACAACCTTTTTACACTTATGGCGAACAATTGTCTCACTTTTGATTCACACATGTGGAATGTAAATTTTTTACTACCAACTCTTACATTCCGAATAATATTCCATTGGAGATTTTACGGAAAAATGGACTTATAATTCAAGTAAAAAGAATACAAGTGCTAATTAAGAGATTACATGTTTATGAATTCAATAATTTAGATAAATTAATTAATTATAATTAAAATTTATTGATTGTTATATGTGAAATTAAAATTTATTGTTATAATTTAAAAAGTTTTTAATATTTTTAATTTCAAAATTGTAAAAAATGATTTTTTTTTTATTTAGAAAAACTATATAAACATAAATTATGATTTAATTAAAATTTTACAAAATTCATATTCGCTGTCAATTTTCTAATAATAGAATAAATTAAATGTCAATGCCAATATAGATAAGGCAGCAAAATAATGATGGTGGTAAAATATATAATTTTCCAGAAAATTAAGAAAGATTCGTATAGCAAAGTGTCAAGAGGCTCACCAATATAATACTAGATATTATACCTCTACATTAAAACTAGTTATTTGCATAAATAATTTCTGTTATTTAGAAACGTGTTTTTATATTTTCTTTAATATTCAAAATACAATGTTCATTTTTCAGTGTTAACATTCAATCATACTTTTAATTTCAGATTTAAATATTATAATTTTTTTTATTTAAATTTCGACGTTAAACAAAAATAAAAATAGAAGTAATTGAAAATTATATTGATACGATTAATAAAATTTATTTAGAAAGTAATTATTATTATTATGTAATATTAATTTAAAAATTCAAAAGTAAAATATAGAAAATAAGAAATAAATTTTTTTTAGAAGTTTCTTAACAAACAAACAAAAATAAATAGTGAAACTCAATTCTGGGATTTTATTATAAAAATTAAATTAGAAAGATTAAAATGAATCCTTCTCAAGTTTTCAGAAAATAAAAAAAAATTAAGTAAATATATAGTCGAGTGCCTAAGTAATCAGAAAAGTAATTATCAATCTAATTTTACTTCTATTTATTATTACAAAATTGAATAATTAATTTTCAATTATATTATTCATTTTGTTGCCTCCATTTTTATAGTAAAATTCAATTTTAAACTCTTTTTCCTCATCTGACTTTAATAACTTATAAATTACATAAGTAATTTTGTTATTACATTTATTTCTCCTGTACTGCTGTTTCTTAATTTTTTGTTTCTCTATTTCCTAATTTGTTTATAGTTATTTTATTTATTTAATTTTTTCATAAAAATTTTACCTCAACTCATAAAGTATATTTAAACAAAAGAAAAAAAAATATTACTAGAATAATAATAAAAGATGAAATTTTAAATAAAATCCACTTTTATCGGTTGATAATTGATAATAACGGAAAATAATTGATTTTTAATTTTTTTAAGTTGGTATTTTTTTTTTTTTTTTTTTTTTTGCTAAAATCGACAATAATAAAAAGTAAGTTTCTTTACATTTCAATGCTTTATGGTGCAAAATAAAAAAAAGCCATATAATATGAAAGGTTGTAAACAAAACGTTGAAATTACCATTGAAGTTGTGTGAAGTGAGCAATCATCGCAAAAGAGAACTTTAACTATACTTTTTTCATTATTGTAAAATATCCTACAAAATACCAAACCAAAGTTAATATGCAACAGTTAAATTTTTTCCTCGCATTTCTGACCTGATAACACAAACAATATAATTTGCAAAATTAATTTTAATAAACTCAATCCTATTTTACGGATGTGAAAAAAATGTAAATATTTATATATTCAGTTGTTGTTAATTTATACTGAAATAAATAAATGATTTATTTATTATTTGATAACAATAAAATTTTATAAAAATAATAACAAATATAAAAGTAGAACAAAAATTTAAAATAATATATAATAATGAATAAGCAAAAACAAAATAAACAAATTTTATCATAAAAATATAACAAAATTTGAATTTATAATTTAAAAAAAATATTAATATCCATAAAAAAAAATTACACATGCAAACCTGTAATTCATGCGACTCCAATCTTGTACAATTCGGTTCTCCTTGAAATAGAACATTCCCTTATTTTCAAAATCGAATAAAAATCATCATTCACCAAATCCACTGGTGGATGATCCCATCAAATTCGATTACTCTATTGCTCCAATATACCTTAAAACAACAATCATTTATCATAAAAAAAAAATCCTTGTTCCAATCTACAATTTGAATTTTTGAAAAAAATATAACCCCTTTCTCCAAATGAATGTTTCAAATTAAAATTATTCAAAATAAACACAATTAAAATAAAAAAATTAATTGATAGATTAAATATTAAATCGGTGCTTTAATTACATATAGTAAGTATTTGGCACAAATCTGCAAAAAAAAAAATCTCGTAATTTATCGCGCGCAATTCATGTAATGAAAGTACTTACTCTTGTGGTACGCAGGTGCCTCATCAAAACGAGTGTATAGATATAATGGAACACGAGTTTATGAAAGGAGAGGACTGTTTTTTTTTCTCTTATCTCTTTGAGATTTTTTTCCTTTAATTGGAGTAAATCTCCACACGAGAAGATAATCACAACACGTTTATATATATATATATATATATATATATATATATATATATATTTAAACCAAGAAAAGAAAGATGATACAGGTAAAGTAGAATCGTCTACGACGGACGACACGATACTGGCAAGCAACATCAGTGAATCGGCTGAACTAACCGATCTGGGTTACCCGGCCATTCGTCTGTCTGTCTGTCCGTCATTCTCCTATATGCCTCAAGTTCATTCCAAGCCTTCATTCTTTTCATTTATTGCCATTGACCATTCGTCGAATCATACATGTAAAATCATTTCTTTCAATAGGATCAAATTTTGAAAAATCGAAGAAGAAAGCAATTTCCTTTTTTTCATTAAGAAGTCAAAAAAAGTATGAGAGAGAGAGAGAGAAAAATGAACAAATCCACCAAAGTTATATCGGGTTTTTCAATTCACTGATTCCCTCTCCGTCAATGGTCCATGAACGACCATAGTAATCACTATTCGCAAAAGATATTTCGATATTGACGAGTCGTCGACCCGTCGAGAAATTATCCACGCGCGACAAGTTACACATCAAATTTCCGGTGACTTGGTGAAATCAGGATAGTATCAGTTAAACCAAAAGAGGGTCAATAGTGATTTTTGAATAACGCATATGTATAAATATAGCTCATAGACGAAATACCGGCAATATTGTAAGTTTATAACGGTTTTATTCGAAAGCGGATAAAATTGGGTGTTAATATCCTCTTTAATAACAGGAACCAATAATTTCTGTTATGGTGTTTTACGCATAAAAGTAACTTAAAGAGCAAAAGTACGTGAGAAAAAGAACACGCGAATAAAATGTAAAATATTATATTAATTTCAGAATTGAAAATTCAGAATACTATGAAGGAGACAGACAAAAAATTTCAATAAAATACAAAAAAGTCAATATCCAAATAGTACGTATACTTCTTCAAGTTTGAAGATGAACACTTGATGAAGTTGAACACTGTAGAATCAATCTTTTGTTTTCGTTCGTTCGTTGTTTTGTTCATTTATGTATTATATTCAGAATTAATCATAAAAAAGAAAATATTTCATTAAATTTCCTTTATTTACTAGAAAAGTAATCTAGAAATATACATGTGAAAGAAAATTAAAAGAAACATAACCAGGGACTGACACGGAAACGAAACAAAACGTCAAATCAATTTTGTGTAGTGTCGTGGTCAATCACAAATACATTTAATAATTTATAATGTTTTCGTGTCCTGACCGAACACTTTTAAATTAATGAAATGTTTTCGTGTCCCGACCAGACACTTTTAAAAAAATTAAATGTTTTCGTGTCCGGACACGTCACTTTTAAAATTTTTAAATGTTTTTGTGTCCGGATACGACACTTTTAAAATAATTAAATGTTTTCGTGTTCTAATCAGACACATTTGAAAAAATTAAATGTTTTCGTGTCTGGACACGATACTTTTAAAATAATTAAATGTTTTTGTGTCCGGACACGACACTTTTAAAATTTTCAAATGTTTTCGTGTCTGGACACGACACTTATAAAATAATTAAATCTTTTCGAGTCCACACCCGACACTTTTAAAATAATCAAGAGTTTTCGTGTCCGAACACGATACTAAAATTTTTTAAATGTTTTCGTGTCCGGATAGGATCCACTTTTTCATTGTAAAATATTCTCATGAACAAATTTACTTGTTACGCCATATTAGATCCGCTGTTTTGATTTTTTTCATTTTTGAAATTAGATTTGGATTCAGTGATCCCACTAGCAACTCTCCTTTTTCCTCCCCTCCCCCATTAAAAAAGATTAAAAATTTAATTAAATTAATAATAAATTATTCATATTAAATTAAATTAATTAATTAAATGTTTCAGTGACTAGACATGAAACATTAAAAACGAATTATGTCTCGTATCCATACACGAAATGTTATTCAATGAGAAAATGTGTAGTGTCTGGACACAAAACATTTTATTATTTTAAATGTGTCAGGTCCGAACACGAAAACATTTCTTTATTTCAAAAGTGTCAGATACAAAGACGAAACGATATTCGATGAGAAAATGTGTCTTGTTCTGACACAAAACGTTACTCGACAAGAAAATGTGCCGTGTTCGGACACGAAAACATTTCTTTATTTCAAAAGTGTCAGATACAAAGACGAAACGATATTCGATGAGAAAATGTGTCTTGTTCTGACACAAAACGTTACTCGACAAGAAAATGTGCCGTGTTCGGACACGAAAACATTTCTTTATTTCAAAAGTGTCGGGTCCGGACACGAAACATTATTCGATGAGAAAATGTATCGTGTCGTAACACGAAACGATAACACAGCCCCACAAAAAAAAAGTGTCATGTACTTTTGACCGGAATACCCTAACCCTATGTATTTTGACGCGCTGAACACAAATCCGAAGTCCGTTTTGCTCCATCACGTCAGGATTTTTTCCTAACCTCAAAAAACATGTCGGATTTTGAGAAGTAAGCGATTTTTTTAAAAATTGATGTATTAACTTCAAACTTGGTATCTGGGGGTTTTTTGTGTCGCTGATTACGAATCTGAAGTTAGATTTTCAAAATCCAAAATGGCGGATCCAATATGGTGGATGAATTTTGAAAAAATTTTAAGATTTACTTCAAACTTGGTATCTAGGGTTTTTTTGGGTCGCTGATTACGAATCTGATGTCAGATTTCCGAAATTCGATATGTCTGATTCAATATTAAGGAATTATTTTTAAAAAATTGTCAGATTATTATGAAATTTAGTATCTACAGGTTTTCTAAGTTGCTGACAAGTAACACTAGGGAAGTGCCATACGCCGATTTTTCTGAAACTTGTCAGTTTTGTAGTTTTTTGAAAACAATTTGACACGTATGGTTTGTTTTTCCCCAAAAGCTGATTTATGGGGGGGAACTAGCCCTTGAATTTTTTTTGGTAAGGGGACATTATTTTACGAAATTTTTTAAAAATTAATGTGCAATAGTGTATCTAGGGGTTTTTTGGGTCGCTGATTACGAATCTGATGTCAGTTTTCAAAAATTGATAATGGCGTATCTAATATGGCCGATAGAAGTCCATGTTGATATGCCATTTTGAAATTTTGAAATCTGACATCAGATTCGTAATCAGCGACCCAAAAAACCCCCAGATACACTATTGCACATTAATTTTTAAAAAATTTTGTAAAATAATGTCCCCCTACCAAAAAAAAATTCAAGGGGTAGTTCCCCCCCATAAATCAACTTTTGGGAAAAAACAAACCATACGTGTCAAATTGTTTTCAAAAAACTACAAAACTGACAAGTTTCAGAAAAATCGGCGTATGGCACTTCCCTAGTGTTACTTGTCAGCAACTTAGAAAACCTGTAGATACTAAATTTCATAATAATCTGACAATTTTTTAAAAATAATTCCTTAATATTGAATCAGACATATCGAATTTCGGAAATCTGACATCAGATTCGTAATCAGCGACCCAAAAAAACCCTAGATACCAAGTTTGAAGTAAATCTTAAAATTTTTTCAAAATTCATCCACCATATTGGATCCGCCATTTTGGATTTTGAAAATCTAACTTCAGATTCGTAATCAGCGACACAAAAAACCCCCAGATACCAAGTTTGAAGTTAATACATCAATTTTTAAAAAAAATCGCTTACTTCTCAAAATCCGACATGTTAAATTAAAATTAATGCATCCGTGAATGAAATTTAATACATCAATGAATTGTTATAACTTTCATTCAATATTGAATGAAAATTCAGTCGTTTGAATGACTTAAAAGTGTATAGATTTTCAGGCGTTTTCTAACAGTGTACAACGGACATAAAAACAAGAAACTGTAATACGATTTCAGAAAAACAAAAATATACGAAAGATAATTATTTCTTCTTTTCAAAAGAGAAGAAAAGAAAACTCATTTTATATTTTAGCTTCATCTTATAATACATTGAACCGTTAGCAATAATATAATATTATTGCACAATTCATTAGGTTAAGATCAAAAATACTATTTGGCAATTTTTATTTGGCTTGAATATAAAAAAAATGTTCTCTGAGTAAAGTACGTATAATATAATGTCGTGCTTAAGTTTTCTAAAGTAGATCTGAGATTAAATACAGAAAAAAAATCAAATTTTAATGGAATGCTTAAAGGATTTTAATAGAATTTAAAGTGTCTTCTTCAAATTTGACCCAGAAGATTCATCAGATTCATATTTATATTAATAGAGACCACATAGAATGATGCATCTCGTGAATAATTCGTAAATGCCTGCGGCTACAAGAATTCTTCATCTTCTTCTTATAAGACTCTTGATGAATGCCTTCTACTGCGCGAGATTTAATGATAAAATGTAAGGCAAACGTTAAGAACGGAAATGTTTTGCGATCTTAAATTTTCTCTTCTCTGCTTTCCAAGAATTGCACTTTATATCATCTATATAAGACTCTGAATATATATAATTAAAAACATAATATTATCTGTATGAAAATTTTTAAATAAAACATTATAATATTTTTCAAAAGTGTTTCAAATGAAATGAATTTCAACAAAAGCACTTTTGTGTGGAAAATTGAAAGTTGAGAGTAGATTTAGAATAAAATTATTCTACTTCATTCCATAAAAAAAAATTTTAATATAAAATTAAAAAAGAAAACTTTTTAATGAGAAATTTAGAAGATGATGAAAAATGTTACAAGTGGAAAATATTCTAAATTATTTGAAAACTCTTTTCAATAAATATTTATAAATCACTTTTCTACTATAAAGCAAATATTATTTTAGAAAATTAGCCAAATAAAAAATTTTAATTCTAATAAGTTTAAGTAATAGAAAATCCGAGAAAAAAATTTTAAAAATCTGTTGTCACTTTATTGACTAATTAATCTAAAAATGCATATAAAGTAAATGGAATTATACAACTTAAAAACTAGTAAATGAAGAGTGAATTTATAATTTATATCGCGAGGTGAAATTGATCTCGAGGAATTTAACGATCATGCGTTCAATAAAACATGTTACAAATTTTCTAATCTTGATATATATAAAGTATTAAACACTTCATTTTCAAATTATAATTTTCCAATGCTACAAAAGTAAAATAAAATAATTCAAAACTAAATA